AGGACACTGAGGGCACTTGGTGTGTTCAGCTGGAGAAGAGGAGACTGAGGGGAGACCTCCCTGCAGTTCCAACTGCCTGGGCAGGGGCAGAGGAGGGGCAGGACTGAGCTCTGCTCTGGGGGGAGCAGGGACAGCCCCCAGGGAATGGCTGGAGCTGTGTCAGGGCAGGCTCAGGGTGGATCTCAGCAAAAGGTTCTTCTCCCCAGAGGGTGGTTGGCACTGCCCAGGCTCCCCAGGGCAGTGGGCACAGCCCCAAGGCTGCCAGAGCTGCAGGAGGGTTTGGATGATCCTCTGGAGCACAGGGGGTGACTCTTGGGGCTGGGCCTGTGCAGGGCTGAGGATTGGACTGGGTCCCTTCCATCTCAGCATATTCTGTGATCCTGTAACAAGCTGGGTTGATCCCATGGCTCTGGGGCCTCAGGGGAGCTCAAGGCCTCACCATCCTTGGAGAAATACACGAGGTCTGGGGACAGGGCGAGGAGGGAGCCAGGAAAGGGCTCTGTCTTGGCTGCAGCTCCTCGTGCCCGAGCTACTCTCCTGCTCCTCTCCATCTCACCATGGTCCCAAACTGGAGCTCCAGATCCTGGGAGCAGCTCCCTGCGGTTGTGCCTGGCTCTGGTTCTTTGGGAAGCGGGCACTGGGGTGTCGTCAAGGGAGCCAGAACGTCTCACTGTGACCTCAGTGTGGGGCTGTAGGGCCCCACACACACACCTGGCACCTGCCAGGCTTCACCCTACAAGGGCAAGGAGGCTGCACTCGCCCTTTTGAGGGGGTGCCCCCACAAATATCCCCTTCCAAAGAGTCACCACCCAGCACTGCTGGCCCTCACCTGAGAAGCCCCAGACACAGTGACTCTTATCCCAGGTTGCTCCAACCTGGCCTTGGACACTCCCAGGGATTCAGGAGCAGCCACAGCTTCTCTGGGAATTCCACCCCCAGCCCCTCCCCACCCTCACAGGGAGGAATTTTTCCCAACATCCCACCTAACCAAGGACCTTTTGCAGAAACCAGAAGATGTAGAAAAGGATTAACAAAGAATTCAGTTCATGTGCCGGAAATCCCCTTCTAGGAAAAAAGATGCTAAAAATGTGGATTTAATTAGCACAGAAAGTGAGGAATTAATAGCCAATAGAAGTAAAATACTGGCTAATGAAAGAGAATGATGTAATTAAGAACCAATGAATAATAAGTTCTTTTCTTTACAAATTTTATAGATTTGGCCTGGACAAGGAATTAGGGTTGAGGGAGGACACACTGCACCCCAACCCATCTTCCATGTTTATGAGTTTATCTACAAATTTCAGCCTCCAGTGGCTCTGGGATGACACAAACACATTTACAGAGGGGAAGTGGGGAAAAAAAACAGAAAAAAAACAAAAAAAACCCAACACTCAGGGTTAATTTAGCTGGAAAATATCCCAGAAATCCCCAGGTCAGTCCATTTGGCAATTCTTCTCTTTGCAGTCTCTGCCATCCTGTGGCACCAGGAGCCCCAGTCCTGCATCCAGGCGACACTGCACAGAATTCCCAGCTCAGGAGCCCCATCCTGTCTCCAGGTGACACTGTGTGAACATTCCCAGCGCAGGAGCCCCAGTCCTGCAGTCCAGGTGACTCTGCACAGACATCTCCAGCTCAGAAGGTCTCAGAGCTGACACTTCTCCTCTCCTCCTGCAGCAGGGACCCCGCAGGGTCCCCTGGTGAGGCCACGTTCAGGTAGCCCTGCTCTGAGGGCTGGGAGGGGGACAGGCCCCGGGAGGAGTCCTGGCTTTGGGTCTCTCCCTCAGACTTCGTGTCTTGAGGGGCCTTCATGGCACCGAAGGGTTCCTGGAGATCCCGGGGTGGGAAACTGGAAAGGAATTTCCACTTTAAGTCACTCTTCACACACCTCAGAACCTTCTTCAAAGGGTCTCACACCCCTCACCCACCACCTACAACCTTCTCAAAGGATCCCACAACCTCCTCCAAGGATCTCACAACCTTCTCCCACCCCACAACCTCCTCCAAGGATCTCACAACCTTCTCCCATCCCACAACCTCCTCCAAGGATCTCACACCACCACCCCACAACCTCCTCCAAGGATCTCACAACCTTCTCCCATCCCACAAACTCCTCCAAGGATCTCACAACCTTCTCCCACCCCACAACCTCCTCCAAGGATTTCACGCCCCTCACCGAACCGAGAACCTTCTCCAAGGATCTCACACCCCTCACCCACCCTCAAAACCTTCTCCAAAGCTCTCACACTCCCTCAGCCACTCCACAGCCTTCTCCTGGCTTCTCCTGCTCCCCCCAAGGTACCTGGCACGGGCAAGTGGCACCACCTTACTCTGGAGTTGGTGTTCGGAGACGTGAAGGGTCTTCGAGTCCTGGAAGGAGGAACAGAGACTTTGAAAGGACGAGGTGCAGGTCAGACCCTGAATTCCAACATATCCTGGTCTGCCAAGCCCTCCTCAGCTCCACTGAGAGTTCTCTCCATCAGCTCCAGCCCCATGGAGGTGCCAATCAGAGATCTGGCCTTTGGGTCTGAACTTAAACTAAAAAAAAACCCCCAAACCAAACCCCATCCAGCCCAGGGGAGCCCCAAACAGCCCTTTCCCTCTCATTTCCACCCAAACTGGGTTCCCTCCATATTAAAGCATCCTAATAAACCTCCACCTCCACCTGGCTGGTTTGAAAGGTCTTTGATTTCCCCTTTTTATCCCTCCTTTCTCCCCCCAAAGCTCTTCCTAACACAGTCGGTCCCTTCCTCCCTCCCAGCCAAGTTGGGACGATCGCTCAGCTTGGTCTGGAGGGTTTTGGGTGACAGGAGGAACACACCCAACCCCTCTGCCCGAGGCTGATCCTCCCAATACTTGAGCCAGCTCTACAACTGAGGTCTTTGAAGAGCTCCAGGGGTGCCAAATGAGATTCCTGTTCCCATGGAAAGGGATCCCCGGGCGCAGCAGCAGCTCAGGGGCGAGCGGAGCGGGGAGCGCACGGAACCTTCGGCTGGGGCGACCTATCCCATGTCGGGGGCCCTTTCCATGCCATCCTGGTGGATCCAGCTCTTCTCCAGCCCCTCAGGGATCAGCTCCTGCTGCTCCCAGCCCTGCCAGGGTCTCACCTCTGCGGTGGGAGCGGGGCTGCTCCGGGGAATGCGTGGTGAGGCAGGCACGTGACCGGAGAGCTGGAGCTTGTTCTCCTCCTCCAGGGTCTTCCCTCTGAGCGTGGGAAAAGGCACGAGTTATTTTCCTTCTGGCCACGCTCTTGTTTTCAAAGGGGAATTTCTCTTTTCCAACCCCAGACCCTCCTCCACAGTCTCCAGCTAAAGGCTGAGGATTCTGACAGGAAAACGGGCTAATTACAGCCCTAATTACAGCTAATAATAATTTTTTATTATATTTATTATTTTTATTTATTTTATATTATTTATTATTTATTATTAATAAATTATTAAATGATATTCTTTTATTAATGTATTATTGTTAAATAATTATATATGTGTATAACAACATATCATTAAATAACATTTTATTAATATGTTTATTTATAATAACTTAATGATAAATATTTATATAGTTATGTATAATAATATGTTATTATATAATAAAATATCTTTATATAAAAAGAAAGCTATAATAAAGGCTAAAATTCAAAAAAACACATGTAATTTCATAAAACGTAATAAAATTAAAGAAAAAAAATTAAGAAAAGCAAATTCAGGCACAAAACCAGGGAAGAGGGAGGCTCCCAGAGGGAGGGATGGACATCAGGAGGGTCCTACCTGCTGGGCAAGGGGGCAGTCACAGACCGGAGGCTCCAAAGGGGCTCCTCCTGCTCCGAAATCTTCTGGAGGAGCCGCCGCCTCTCCTGGAGCAGCTTCTCATTCTCGGCGGTGATCTGGGCAATCAGCACCTTCCCCTGAGGGGTGGTGGATGAGGAAAGAACAACCAGCACTTACACCTGGGTCTTCTCTGCCCCCTGCAAATCCCAGAGACCTCCCAAAGGGGTCACCAGCAGGGACGGAGCTTGGAGTGCCCAGCCCTGGGAGGGCTCAAGGACCACCAAGCATGTGGCACCTGGGGACATGGGTTACTGGAATTCCACTCCCTGGCTCATGTAAAATAACCCAAATAGAGGCTTTGGGGTCACTTCCCAGCTGAAGCAAAGGAAGATGGAGCTCAGGGCAGAGTCTGGGGGGGACTGGAGGGTTTGGCTTCCCCTGAGGGCAAACCTGAGCCAGGAATTTCCTGTGGGCTTTCTGTTCCTATACACTTGGACAGTGCTCCTGGACTCTTCCAGGAGGGGCTGGTCCCTTCCTGCAAGGAGGGACTTTGGACAAGGGTCCAGGGAATGGACAGGACAGGACACAGGGAATGGCTTCCCACTGCCAGAGGGCAGGGACAGATGGGATATTGGGAAGGAATTCCTGGCTGTGAGAGTGGGCAGGCGCTGGTACAGCTTGCCCAGAGAAGCTGTGGCTGCCCCTGGATCCCTGGGAGTGTCCAAGGCCAGGTTGGATGGGTCTTAGAGCAACCTGGGCTGGTGGAAGGTGTCCCTGCCCATGGGACTGGATGGTTTTTAACATCTCTTCCCACCCAAGCCATTCCATGACTCTTTTGGAAGCAGGGATGCTCCTGCAGCCTTCCCTTGCTGGAGAAGCCCTCGGCGTCTTCTCTCACCTTCTCCACTTGGAGCTTGGACTCGCTGAGCTCGTTTTCCAGCTGTTTGATCCTGCTGTCCCTCTGTTTCACCTCGTGGATGAAGGTCTCCTTGGCCCTGCGGATCTTGTCCTTGTGCCGGAGCTGCATCTCGTTGTATTTCCTGAGGAGGCAGAGACAACCCTCAGGCTGGGAAATGCTCCCTGGCAGGAGATGTCCTGAGTTCCCTCAGGTTGCTCAAAGCCTGAACTGGGACGCTCAGCCCTCCCCTAGCTCCCCCTGCCTGCACAGAATGGACTTTCTGGACTCTTTCACTGATCAATTTGGGTTGGTTTTTTTTTTTTTTGGTTGGAAATGTTACATTTTTAATTGTCAATCAAACGGAAATTGATTAAGGGAAAAGGACCCAAAGCATTTCCAGAATAATGTCAAAAAAAGAAGAGAAATTTCTACCCATATAAGGGATAACTGGCGAAAAGATCAGCTCCAAGGAGGGTCTCTGCTGACATCAAACCCTGACCAGCAGCACTCATGGCCCTCCCAGGGCCCCCTGTGCTGCCTTCAGCTGCCAAGGGAAGGCTGAGGGAGATGGGGTTGTTAACCCAGAGAAAAGAAGGTTCCACAGAGACCTGAGAGCCCCTGCCAGGGGCTCCAGGAGAGCTGGAGAGGGACTGGGGACAAGGGATGGAGTGGCAGGACAAGGGAATGGCTTCCCACTGCCAAAGGGCAGGTTAGATGGGATATTGGGAAGGAATTCCTGGCTGTGAGGGGGGGCAGGCCCTGGCACAGGTTGCCCAGAGAAGCTGTGGCTGCCCCTGGATCCCTGGAAGTGTCCAAGGCCAGGTTGGATGGGGCTTGGAGCAACCTGGGCTGGTGGAAGGTGTCCCTGCCTATGGCAGGGGGTGGGATGAGATGATCTTTGAGGTCTGTTCCCACACAGCAGCCAAATCCACTGCCAGGCATGGGAGGAGCAATTCTCGAGGAGGGTTTTGTGCCATCACCTCACATAGAGATCCTTCTGGTTCAGGAGCCGAACACCCTCCTCATAAAGGGCCTTGTTCTCCTCCTTCAGCAGGGACAGCTGCTCCGAGAGCTTCTGGTTCTCCTTTCGGCACTGCAGGTACTGCAAAACAGCTCTGCTTCACTGGGGGTGGCTGCAGGAGCCCCTCTGCTCCCCTCCCCTCTGCAGCCTGGGCTGCAAAGCTTCTCTCTGCTCAATCCCAGTGGTTCCCACTACAGATCATATCCATCCATCCATCCATTCTTCCATCCATCCATCTACACATCCATCCATCCATCTACACATCCATCCATCCATTCTGCCCCCCAGGCCTCCTCCTCCTCCTAACAAGGGGCCATGGGAATTTCAGAGCAGAGGGAGGCAATGGATTCTCTCAGACAATGGACTCTGCCCAAATTTCACTGGAAAAACTCCATGCTCTGCAACAAAAAGGGAAGGAAGAAACCATCAAGTCTTCCTGGGCCCTCAAAGCTTCATCCCAGGAAACCTACATGAGATGAAATCATGGAATGTTCTGAGTTGGAAGGGACCCGCAGGGATCATCCAGTCCAAATCCTGGACAAATGCCACCCTGTCCCTGAGAGATTGCCCAAACCCTCCTGGAGCTCTGGCAGCCTTGGGGCTGTGCCCACTGCCCTGGGGAGCCTGTTCAGTGCCAACCACCCTCTGGGGGAAGAACCTTGTCCTGAGATCCACCCTGAGCCTGCCCTGACACAGCCCCAGCCATTCCCTGGATTCTGTCCCTGCTCACTAGAGCAGAGATGGAGCTGCCCCTTGTGAGGAACCTGAACACAAAAGGAGCTGCAGCCCCTCCACCAATCCCAGCTCCACGCTTTTACTGATGGGACGGTGCTTTTCCTGCAGCTCCTCTTAAATCAGTGGGATCTGCAAGGGCTCAGCACCTCAGACCCTGTTCCAGCAGCTCCCAGGTGTACATTTACCCCCTGGAACATTCCTGTTCACCCCAGGATGATGAGGAGCCCCCACACAGCCCCTCCCTCACCTCTGCAGGGTCAGGTTTCCTCTCATCCTCCAGGGCGTGCAGGGTCTTGGCCTGGAGCTCCACGTGCATCCTGGCCAGCGACGCCTCCGTGTCCCGGGAATGCCGGAGCTGCTGCCGCAGATCCTCCACCTGCTGCTCCAGGAGCTTCCTGAGAACACGGGAGTGTGACAGTGAGACCCCTGAGGTGGAGGTGACACCATCACGTGCCCCCAAGGCTGGGTGTCCCCTAAAAGCATCCCACTGCCCTGGGTCACAGGGAGTGGAAAGAGGAATCAGCACATCCCGGTGTCCCCACCGGAATCCTGCTGAAACAGTGATCCCAGCGTTTATCTGAGTGATCTCACACATTGTGAGATCACCAAAGGACTTCTGCAAGCTGAAGAGAAGCAGCTGCTCACCCAGCAAAATTCACCCCTCCCTGAATATCCTACTGATCCTTCAGATCAGTTAAGTGGGTGCCATCCCCACCTGAGCTGGAAGAGTATAATTACTCATGAAATCTTTGAGTTTTGGGGGGGGCTTCCCAACCACCAGACCAACAGATATGGAAGCTGCAACTCCCAAGCTTCATCTCTGGATCCAGGGGGTGGTGACCATAAACAGTTCTCCACCTTTATCCTTTCTTTCTCTTCCTTGCCTTATGCATTTCCTTAAGTGTTATTTTTATGCTTTAAGGCTGCTATAGATGCTTTAATATTGCTGTATTACTACAGATAATAACATCCAAAACAGCAACACACCCGTTTACCTTTGAAACAAAGTTGTTCTAAAATAAACCCTACATACCTATTTTATGTTCAAAAACACTGATTATTCAGTGTCCTTTCACTCTAATCCACCCCAAGGGGTTTATTAACCAGAACCTGGGTTACCCTCCCCTTCTGGGTCATGACACCATGTCCCAGGGACATGAAAAAGAGTGGATTATGCACTGGGATCATCATCCCAGCTCCACAGCCTGTTGGTATCTCTGTGCTGGCAGGAGAGACCAAGGACCTTCTGAGGCAGCTCAAGTCCCCAACAATCTCCTAAATCTCCAGGAGGGGATCCCTGGAGCTCCGCCAGGGATGTGGCAGATCCAAAGGGGAGGTCAAGCCAGTGGTTTGGGATTCCCTGATCCCCTCAGGAGCTGCTGTTCCCACGAACTGGCAGGACAGCTCAAGTACCTCTTCAGCTGCCCCTCGTGGAGCTCCCGCCGCACTCGAGCTTCATTCTCCCGGGCCTCCTTCAGCTCCTCCTCCAGCAGCTTCTTGTCAGAAACACGGGCCTCTGCCAGCAGGAGCTGGTGCTGGGAATCCTTCAGCTTCTGCTGGAGCTTTGAAATCTTGGAGGAAAACGGGCACAGATTAAATTTCTGAATGTATAAACTGGTGTCTGCACCGGGTCGCTTTGATCGCTCGGTGCCCAGGACTTGGGAATGAAAGATTTCCTTGTTTTGAGTCACAAGTCCATGGAGAGCAAAACCTCTGGAATGGCCAAGTAGATTTTGGATCTTGGATCAGACAGTGTGTCATGAATTGGCAACAACTCTTTTGGGACCCAATTAGATCCCGTAAACTTCAAAACTGGTTCCAGTGATTCCTGCAGGAGCACAGCACAACCAGTGCCAGGGGAAACACAAGGTGTTGGAAATTTCCAGCCAGCAAACAGCAGTAAATCTGCTTGGCAAGGACAGCATTGAGGCTCCCTGTGCCTGCCACTCTCAGTCCCAGCATTT